TGCCCCGAGAAAAGGGGTCGGCGGCACCAGGGCGGAGCCCTTACTATAATATAGGATTATACAAGAAACGCTTGCCTCGTTTGCCTCTCTTGCACCGAGTCTGTCAAGTCCGCATCAATCAGCCTTTTCGAAGAACCATGCGAGCTGCATAGATGTTCATCGACACGAAGAGGTCCAAGTCTTCTGGGAGAAGATCCAGCGCCAGAAGCAAACGAAGAGCACGAGACATGGCCTGAAGAGTTCGGCACGGAGGGCAAACGCCGGGGACTGGACCACGTGACAGTGTGGCGCCAGCGGCGCGGGCCGCGCCGCCAGCGGGTCATGGAACCTGCGCCACAACTGGGGTGATACGTGTTCCGCCCCTAAAGAGAGGGCGAAGTCACTGAAGGTCACCAACTTCAAAAGCACTTGAGGGAAGGCAGCGAAGATTGACAGGCACCCTGAGAATGCGAAAAAGAAAGGCATAATGGCAGCTCTGATGGAAGGCAGTGGCCTTGTATTGACCCCAGGGCTCACCACTGGTCGAAAGGTCATGCTTCAGCACCTGAGGCGGTGCTGAAGGGCTGAATTGGAAAATGAATATCTCAGGTAATTAGGTGACCAATCATTGGGATGATGAAAAGAACATCGTACGAAAGACTGGACCCACCAGTTACTCAAGAGTTTATGATCAAAAGAGGATGCTGATGAAGGGGTTCACATTTCATGATTCGGGCTTCGCTTCTGACCGTTGTCTTTTTGGTTCTTGGATTGCCCATCTATGCCCGTCTTCTACTTGAAAAATGACGGTCCTAAATCCACATTGCGCGAATCGAGGAAATGTCAGGTTGATCAGGTTGCCCCGCACCCAGACATTGGAGAGGACTGGTGAGAGAAACCAATTGATCGGTGCTATACCAACCCTCTGGCCATCCCCAAGACACCCTGGCACAAAAAAAAAGAAATGTTGACAACCCTCGTGACTCGTAGCAGTGACTCAACAGATGAAAACAAAGGATTCTGCTGAACAAGTGTGGGTGGTTGATAGAGGCTGCAACGTCTAAGGCTAAGGCAAAATGGATACAATGAAGAGATTCGCACATAAACTTGTCTTCATTGGTTGCATGGACAAATCAGGAAAAGGCGAAGCGCGCAAAAACCTGTCCAATACATGTTCCAAGGGCAAAACCAAATGTCTATCTATCATTACACCCAATACACTAGACCGTCTAGACCCAACCAACACCGGAAACCAATTTCCAACGTCTCTGAACCTCAGTTTGCCGTGGTGAGCCCTGCCTCCATCTGCCAGGGGTTGCAGGTGTGAAGCTCACCTAGCGATGTCAGTTTCACCGAAGATGAACCTCTCGGAACAGTCATGGGGGTATGTAGACTCTTGAGGACCATAAACCCCCCAGGCCTCTTCAGAGGATGTCCAATTCAGGCCTGGGCAGCTTTACGATAGTCTACATGACACGGACCGGGCACGGACCACGAAGAGCTCCGAACATGCTCTTCGCAGAGAAAAACCGCTGGAGAGGGAAGCTCACACGGTGCGACCATGATCCGCACTGTGCGGCAATGATGTGCATTTTGCTATGAAGACAATTCCAGTGAAAAGAGCGTTCGTCGGAATCCCCTTCTGACAATTGACGAGACAACGGCATGAAGCCATCATTTCAGGCCATGAAGGCATGACTCGTTCATTGGAACACATGTTTGGAACAGATGTTATTTGCTGTGATGGACATGATTGGACATGTAAAAAAAAACAAAAAAAGCATCAAAGATCTCCCTCTCTTCAGTTCCTCGCTTGTCCCGTCCCTCGCTTGCTTCTCCCTTCGTCTGTCGAAGCGCTCCAAACATCGGACGAAGCGCGCTCGGGGACACCGGTGACCCGTTGGTCCAAACACCGATTCCGTTGGGACTCGCCCTCTGGTGTGTGTGTTACTGGTGTGTGTCACCGGTCGTTAAAGACACCAAAATCTGGGACGGCGCGACGTCAGACGTACAAGTCAGCTATATCTCACGGTGCTGCGCCTCCCAACACCCGAAAGCGGCAGTACAAGTGGCCCCAGTCCTCCTCAGCGAGCGGACATCGGCCGGCCAGCGCGGAACTCCGCGGAACTCCGTGGGTGTCGACGGGATCGACGGGATCGACAGGGTCGACCCCAACGTGCTTCTGCAATGAATGTCCGTAGGGTGCATCGATCCACATGCATATAATCACCCTGATTAGGTGGAAAAGCAAAAGAGAATCGTACTTGCTGAAGATCATCCAATTGATAAATTAAATGGATTTAAATTGCATATTGTATCCAAAACACAGATGAGGAGTATCCGATAGTCCATCACCCTCCGAAACGAAAGCTTGAACAAAAATGAGGCAACCTTCTGCTTCCAAATGTCATTAGCTCTGATGTTAGCTGGTGAATTTCCTATCATCTCGTACTGCTTTTTTCCACCTGCGGTTTCACGCTCCAGTTCTCGCACCAGCGGAGCCGGCCGCGCCGAGCGTGCGCTCAGGTTTGTGGGGAAGATGCTGCCCGCCGATTGCACCTTGACCAAGTCCTGGCTTGGCAGCTTTGGGGACAGGTAAGAACCCTTGAAGTTTGAACAGTTGGGAGGTTTTCTCTATGTCCAAGTGACATGTTCGGTGCTTTGTTCTCTTTCCAAGACAGTGAACCGCAGCATCCCAAGTGGCAACATTCAGACCAAGGCTGGGGGGCACGTTCTCCTTTAAAATGCTTTTAGGGGGGCCTATGGTTTTCTTAAAATCTGCCCTGTCCTCCTTCTTCAATTTCAAGCGAAATCGACCTCCGGTCTCAGCATGGGAGACCTGCGAGACTGAAGGCGGCTTGCTAGACTGGACCCCAAACGCAGGGGGGAAGCCGGCTCCGGTTGGCCAAAGCAGGTACCCATAAGTTCTTATCTTGTCAACCACTGGGGCCCTAATCTCAAAGTGGGCAGCAAAGACCCTTGAAGACTGCTTTTTTCCATTTGCTTGACCAAATCTACAAAGCCCCACATAGACATCTGAATCCAGGATGCATGTTCGATGCAAGAAAGCTAGTGGACAAGTAGGCCGTAGATATGTGTAGATTCGTAGATAATCAAAATACTTCATAACAGTCCCAAAAAAATTGTCTCCCCAGCAGGTTCTCCAAGAACTCATCCATCCAGGATTAGATCCTACTTCTCAGCAGCCATACTCAGCAAATCTTGAAGGCTAAAGGCTTGTCAACCTTGCTGATTTATGCTAGGTCACCGCCTCTCATGTGCAATCATGTGCAGCACCAAAGCGCATGTTTTGCCTGTTTTCCCCCTGACACATGCCTTCAGCCAGTTCCCTCAGCTCGAATGGTGCAAGGAAACAGCGCCGTGTTCACCACACCTGACCTCCCATGCTGAAGAATCCAAGTCTGGAAGAGTTAGCGTCCCACAACACAAGGACTGGTGGCCCAAACTGGCCCAAACTGCACTGGGGATTCCTCCAATGGCAACAAGATGCCTGCCTGGTGGAGATGCACGAGACGGATGCAGGAACATCCCTTGTTGTAGTTGTCTTCTATCTAAAAGGGTTTGGGTGCCAGTACCACCCAGTATCTATGATTTAGGCGTCTTTCGGCTATCATATGTTGGGTTGCCAGCGGCTGCGAAGGAAGTTTGGCCGGGAGAGCAAAGCAAACAGCAGGACCTACATGGCACAAACAGCACAAACAAAACATTGACATGACTGGAAATGTCGATGCAGTATCAGTGGGGTAGATGATGAGCCTAGAACCGTGCTATACATGAAAAAGGTCTGAGATTGAAACACTGAACAATGCAGGTACGTTCAGGTCTGGTGTGGAACCATCAAGTCTTACCTGAACCACAAACATATATATATAGAGAGAGAGATGTCCTTAGATACATCAGGTGTCCTTAGATACATCAGGTTATGGGAGGCCAGCGGCTCGGCTAAGTGCAGCTGAAAGGATTAAAGTTCTGGAGATAATTCAGAACGTTAAAGTCGTAGAGCACAGTTCAAGAACGCACTTGGTCACTGTGATGTCAAGGCAGCCACTGTCGAGGGCAAACCCAGCCTCTTAGAAACCAACTGTACATGCATGCTTGGCACTCACATTCCTTTGCCATGATTCGATTGCAGCCTTGGAGGGCGGTCCCCCTGGTTCGAGAGACAGACACCCTCAACGTCAAGGACCTGCAATCTGCGAAGGCCAAATCACCAATGTAGGTCACTGAGTCAGGGATGGTCATCGTAGCTAACGAGCTGCAGTTCATGAAAGCACCGGCCTCGATGCGAACCAAAGAGGAAGAGGCGGTCATGATGACGCTTGCCAAGCATCCACACTTCATGAAGGCGCCCGCCTCAATCTGCGTCACTGAGTCCGGAAGTGTCACTTGTGCCAGAGAGCTGCAAAAGGCAAAGGCACCTTTCCCAATGTGGGTCACGGAGCTCGGGAGGGTCAAGCTTGCCAAGGAACGACAGTCTCTAAAGGTGCCTTGTCCAATTTCAGAGACGGTGTCAGGGATGGTCACACTGGCCAAAGAACTGCAGTCCCTGAATACAGCTTCCCCCAAATCAGTCACGCCAGGCATTGCTACGCTCGACAGAGAGTGGCATTTCCAGAAGGCACCGCTCCCAATGTGAGTCACTGAGTCCGGAATGCAAATTCTTATCAACGAGCTGCATGCTGCAAAGGCAAATGGTCCAATGTGGGTCACGGAGTTGGGGATGTCCAGGCTACACAAAGAGCTGCAGTCCTTGAAGGCATTCTCCCCAATGTGGGTCACGAAGTCAGGAATGGTCACTCGCACCAAAGATCTGCAAAGCCAAAAGGCATCTTTTGAAATGTGGGTGACTGAGTTGGGAATGGTCACACTTGCCAAAAGGCTGCATTTCGCGAAGGCGGCTTCCCCGATGTCCGTCACAAGATTGGGGATGGTGACACTAGTCAAAGAGCTGCAGCCACGGAAGGCACCATCTCCAATGTAGATCACTGAGCCCGGAATGGCAAGACTGGTCAAAGAACTGCATTTGGCAAAGGCGGAGTCCCCCACGTGTGTGACAGAGTCTGGGATCCTCAACTTGGCCAGCCTCTCGCAGTGTTGAAAGGCGCCTGGACGAATTTCAGATACATCGTTTGGGATCTCAACGGCAATCCAAGATTCCAAGTCAATGTCGCCACATTCGGCGAGGGTGCGTTGGTCCGAGCATGTAACCGCATTAGCTTTTGCAAATCAGTGTCACATCGGAATCTGCAGAAAGGCCCGCATCCGCCACCATTCCATCATTGCCAATCAACTTGCTGTCTCCAATCACCAGGTCTACTCGAGTTGTTCTGCGAGTGGGTTCATCTTCCCAGAGCTGTTCTTTGAGATGCTCTTTGAGGCTCCACAGCGTCATATCTGGCGTGACTTCAAGACATATCGTTTCGCCTGTGAGCTGCATGAATGATATCTCCATCACCATGGCTGTAGATCAGTTGTGAAAAGGAGCTACACTGACTCACTCAAGCTGAAACATCCTGTTCTCTAACCTATGCCAAATGACTAGAACATCCTACTCGGTGTTGTTTCGATGGGTGCGTCACCCAGCAGTTTTTCCTTGTGCGTCACCGGCTTGGTCACGAGATCCCGGTTGGCAGCACGAAGCGACCCACTCACCGAACCGCAATGCAACAGGAAACCCGGGGAGACCAATATGGAACCTGATGGCATGGACCTTTGGAAGATGATTTTCCTCTACAATCAAGTGGGTTTGGGGTTCCATGTGGGTCTCTTCCAGGACACAAAAGGATCATGTCGATGTGCTGGTGCTCCATGTGCTGGTGCAGAACCACAAAGTTTGGGGAGGAATGACTTGCAGCAAGTCCCCGTTCTCCCCATGAAATATGTACCTTTAGGGAGCCTGGTTCGATTGAGGAGGCTCCCTGATTTCCAAAGTCTGTGACCAACGAGAAAAAGAAGGGAAAGAGATATGTGCACGTCACATCTGCAAGGTGAAGCTATAACAACACAGATGAGGTCAAGTCTTCTATCAAAGAACTGTCCCTTTGTGCTCTGCTGGCCTCCGTTCCTTTTTGGGGAAAAAAAACAATCCTTAGGGCTTCGGTCCTTGTTTTCAGTCTCACTGGTCCCTCCCATTCGGTGGTCTGAAGACGGACGACCGTGCCAGAAGACCCATGCCGAGCACCGAACAAAGGACCGTGGGTTCACTGGAAGCGTATTGCTTGAAGCGTAGCTTGACTTGGTGTTTTTTTTGTGGTGATCTCAATGATCTCAATGATCCCTTCTTGGAAGTGCTTGCTTGGTGTTTTTGTTGGGAGAGCGGTGGAACATCGTGACGACCCTCTGTGACGAGGAGATGGACGACCTAGACGTTGTGTCAAAAGCCAGTTTGTAGAAGGAAAGTCGTCTTTTGTTAAAACGTCATGCTCCATTGATCTCCATTTACAAAATGTTTAAGATTGTTTGATGTTGCTCTTGGTGCACATTGTCATCTTCCGCCTTCCCTGCCCAAAAACAAGAACACTCCACCTCTTCCGCAGGGCTCCCGCCTCACGCCGCAAAAGCTTCAAAGCGTGCAGGAGCCGCAGGGCCGCCGCCTTGACGTCCGTGACATCCCAGGCCTTTCCAGGCTCACCGCAGCGAGCCGCGAGCCGTCGACGTACCCCGATTTGGTCACCCCACTGTGTTTATGAATGAAAGGAGAGTGGGAAGTCCGTGTTGGAATCCAAAGGGGACGGGAAAAAGAACACCAGCTATAAATTGACCCTGGAATACCAGGGTCAGGTACATGAATCTATCGGTGGTCGTAACTCTTCCGACTGTCATAGTCTGCCATGGTCTAGGGGGGCGAAAAGTCGATTCAGAGTCATCCAGAGAGGTCCAGGAGCTCCGAACCTGGTCCCATCATGTCGCTTCCTTTGATGTTCGGATGGAACCGGATGGGAAAGGTATGAACACCGGGGTGTCAGAACACACGTCGAATCACAGGTCCCGGACAGGTCCCTGTTCCATCGCATGCATGGCACTGCGATTGTTAACCTGATACCCATCAAATAGTCCTGTGAACAGTGGAGAAAGCAATGGGTTGTTGTGCGGTTGATGTTGGACATATTGTTAGACAAATTATTCACTGCGATAAGTGCCCTGTACATACTCATTCCACAGCCAAAAAAACAAGTACATCCAACGTCCAGGTCTCTGCATCCGCTTCCCGATCTTCGTTTCAACGGGTGAAACTGCTGAACATCATCTCTGCTCCTCACGATGATTGACACAATGAAAAGGACCTGGGTCTTGCCAAACACCCTGAACAAGGTCTGTTAGTCAAATCAGAAGCTAATCCTCTTTAGAGCCAAGCAGCTGGCCCACAATCCAAACAAATCCAAAAATATGATTGTGATTATGAAACAAGAAACCCTTTTGTTTCTACAGTATGGATGATCCATCCATATCCATCCACTTGTGTCAATAAACCATAACAAACCACTCTCCCGCTTTTTCACCACGTACGGACCTCCCGGTTTGTCGCTCGCTCTCGTGACCTCCCTGCTAGCGAGGAACTTGCCGTGAACGGCCCTTGCCCGTAATGACCACGTACGTGACCTGCTCCCCTGTGCGGTGACAAGTTGGTCCGTCATGTCACAGACATGGGAGATATGTATTGAAGATCTGGGAGATGTCTCTGATCGCCCCAATGGCTTCAATAAGGCTTTTTGTTTCACTTCTTCCAGGGGGGTCGTTGCCTGGGAGGTCTCCGCCATGTCAATACAGACCCATATGCTTTCACTGATCAAGTAATTAAGTTTTCCAAGTCCTACACTCCTCTGCTACACCAGTGTTCATGCAAAAGGATTGGCGAACGACCTCATTTAGGAGTTTGATCCTACAAAAGCACTACTCAATCAAGCTAAAGGACCACTCTTTAACAGGGCAAAACAGGACCTGTACTAGGAGTTTTTCTTTAAACAGGCCAAATGAGTGTCCGACCATCTCGACCAGTTGCCTCCGCGGCTACGGAGTCGCTGGGCCACGGCAGTGGACAACCACCAGCGCAGAAGGAGCTGAGCGGATCCTGGGGGGCGGATCCCATCGGAGCTGTGCTTTTGTTTGTCTAGGCAGTGGGTGGGGTCGACTTTAAAATGCCAGAGAAGACGACCTGCCACGTTCGGAACAAGTCCAAAACCTGCTAGGGACATCACTCCCGCATTTTGAGAAGACACGTGAGAGAGAGACAGATCGCCGAGATCGGCTCCCCACCCGTCCAACCTTCCGAAAGGCCATGCAAGTCGATGACCTCCGGCCAGCGGAAGGAAGACGTGTGGCTTCCGAAGAGCGGCAAGGCCTGCAGAAAGAGGTGTCCGCCCAAACGGTTCTCCTGAAGCTCAGCACAGTCCTCGGATGCGACCCGCGATGCGACCCGCGGTGCGACCGCGGTCTGGGCTCCAAGGAGGCGAAGAAAAGATTTGCTGAACCTTTGGAGGCGAAAACAAGTGTTCTTTGGATGGTTTTGATGTGTTTTGATCCATCTTTTCACCACTAGTTTTTAGATGGTGTTATTATTAATGTGGTTTTGCGGTACAAAAAATGCTGCTGGGAGATATAGCTGCAGCTAAGCTTGGCATTGTCCATTTTGACAAAACCCAATCTGGAAGGGCAGCTGGTGGCCACTGCATTCAAGGTCTGAGCAGTCTAGGGGTTCATATGGTAGTCTTTTGACCAACCATTCAAGCATAGATTCAACATCACCAGCCATACATGATATTGCTCATTGTTCACCCCAAAGGAACTCCTGGCTCCTGGCTCTCTGGACATCGACACCGCATCGACCCCTCCTGTGACTTGCTTCTTGCGGTGTGCTGAGGTTCAAGAAGGGCGTTGTAGCAAACACGATCTGGCTCCAGATGCTCCTCAGGCATCTGCTCAAGGAACCGGAGCGCCTGCTTCCACTGCGTGCCATGCTTGCAAGCTGTAATGGCCTGGGTCGAACGCAGAGGTCTGGAGATGAAAACGCCGTGTTCCAAAGAAAAAACGAAGAAGCGACGCGCGCTGCGCAGCATAGCCCCGTGGAAGACCCGTGTCCGATGTGGAGAACCGATTGTCGCGATCGCGAGTCGCGAGGAGAAAGAAAACCGCCGGTCCTCCCAGCTGTGACAACGCTGGGAGGAATCGAATCCCCAAAAAGCACCGAGCTCTCTGTCTTCCAAGGTCGATTGGTGCCTCGAATCATGTGGAAAAAGCTGTGATTCAAATGACCATCAATCGACTGGTTTCAAGCGAAGCCAACCCACAAACAGGTTTTGGGACAGTTGCTCATGCTCCTTGCAGTGACAGAAAAGAAAAACAACTATATCAAAATTATCCATTCTTGAATATTTAATTAGATGGAAATCAGTGATGTCTCCCAGACACGACATGGCCGAAAAAACGGCCTGGGGAGATTCCAACACCCCCAAGCATGTTAAGATGGAAGTTCCTCTTCCCAACGCGAGTTGCATGACATGGAAATGATCTTCCCCCGTCCTGGGGAGTTTCTCTGACCGTTTCGTCCGGGTCACAGCTGCGTAGCTGAAAACGTTCCTCTGAACGGGAGCTGCAAACGTTCCGTTGCCCATGGAGTTAAAGAGCCACAAGGCCTGAGTGGAGCGTAGGTTTAACATGTTTAAACAAAGAAATTGAAACAAACCAAAGCCATCTGATTTATATCAGGGATTGTCCGATATCCAAAAAAAGCCTGGCATTTAAGTGTGGTGGTCCCTTATATAGCTTCCGAGACAGACTCCGATGGGTTTTGTCCGAAACCTCAGGAAGTCGCACCATGACTAAACACAGGACTAAACACATGACAGACTAGTACTCCCTGAGTTGAATGCATCGAAGCGAGTTCACGAGTTCGGTGCGAAACTCATGGGAAAACCCAAAACCCAGCGAGGTCATGCCATCCACGTGTGGCCCATGATGATCTTAGGGTGTGTCATGTGATGCTTCCTTTGGAACAACTACCCTAAAAGCGGACTGCCAGGCCTGGCTGGCCAGGGGCGAAAACCGGCGGTCTTGGACCAGCTTCGGATGGTTGTGGCGAGATGCGACTCTTCCATACTCTTCCCATGTTTTTCAACGAGAATTGGAGACATCCCATCACATGGGAGTTGGAGTCATTCCCACTTTGAGAGTTGGAGATGTGTTGGAGTCATGTCCTCTTTCAAAGGAAGGCCGAACCCAACTCTATCCCTGGCCTGCTGCCATTCGTTGGCCTTCTCGCAGGAACTGATGGCTGCACCTCAGCTCTGGGCTGATTGGAACTGCTTGCAGGCACCCAAAAGAAATATCTGCTCAGCTTCTTCCGCGCATATAACACATGATCAAGTGAGATCAAAGGGGTTTTCCCTCAGCAACACATTTCGATGCATGGAAGGGCCCACACATGTATACCAAGATATACCAAGCATCCACATATACCTCATCTGTAGATCAAGTGTTGGTCGAAATCTTGGATCGCGGGAAGTTTTGAATCTCCTACCAGGAACTCGTACTCCTCAAAACAAAAACCTGATAGATTCTTCGCCCAATGCTTGGAACAGGTCCATATGGCCACCTGCATTTGAAGCACGGCAACAGTCTCAGGATCTTTGTGAATATATTAATGGTGTTCGGACCATTGTCAATGCTATACACATGTTTTGCAAAGGACATGTGATGTTTTGCAAAGGCTTTCCCCTCATCGTCACATGTGCCAAACCCACCGGTCTCAGGCACTGTAGCTGATAACATTGGGCAGCACCAATGCCCGTGTCATGACATCGAGCGTGAGGAAAGCATGCTGCCATGCGCCAGCCTTCTCGCAGGAGGTGATGGCCGCACTGTAGCCAACAACATCCGGGGAAATCCTGGAGTTAAGCATGTCATTGATAAACTTCACGGCCAACTGCCACTGGATGCCTTTCTTGCAACACGTGATTGCCACGGTATAACTAACAAGATCTGGCTGCACCTCGGATCGAGGCATGGCCTCAAAAAGGCTCAAAGCCAGCTGCCATTCCGTGGCCTCCTCGCAAGTGCGTATCACTGAAGTATAGCTGATCACATCGGGCAAAAGCTCCAGCTTTGGCATCATGGCAAAGTAACTCATGGCCTTCTGCCACTGCCCACCCAGCTTGACTAATGCATTGAGAGCTGTATTGAGGCTCACCCGATCGGGCTGAACTTCGACTCTCGGCATGGCCTCACAAAGGCTCAGGGCCTCCCACCAGTGGGACGCAGTCTGCAAGGAGCTCATGGTCGCGTTGAAGCTGAAGACATCCTGAGGCATTGGCAGTTCATCGACCGAACCAATCGAATCCCGACCTAGATGTCCGGACCCACCCTCGTGTTGCAAGGATGTCGTTCTTAAGGGAAAAAGGAAAAACATCGACAAACATGTGCCTCGAGCAATGCTATGCGTCTGGTTGAAGTTGCGCTTTGGGCATCTCCTGAAAGATGTGGGAGACAAGCTGCCATTGTCTACCCTTGCTACAGGAAATCATGGCAGTGTTAGAGGTGGTGACATTCGGCTGAACCTGTGCTTTAGGCATGACCGCGAAAAGCCAGCAGGCATGTTGCCACAACTTGCCCCTCGAACAGGTCGAGATTCCAATGGTGTATTTCCTGCAGCTGAGCCATCGGGCTTTTTGCCCCGAGTGCTCGACAGTTGCTTAGACAGTTCGTATACTGCTAATTCACAACTCCAAAGAAATGTCGGTTTGGGGTGACTCATGTGGCTCAACATGAGCCGAAACAAAAAACACGTTCAAAACCATCAAAAGCCTGCGGGTCTGTGGGTCACTCTGCAAAACCAAGCATCTGATTATCCAATTCTGCAGCCTGATGTCGCAGCTCCTCTAGCAAATGAAAGATGGACTTGGCATCTTTCTTCTCTGACAGCGATTTGAAAAGCAGTGGCAAGTTCTCCACCGTGCTCGTCTTCCGTCGGCTCCACCGATGCGCAGTAGTGAGGCGTCTCGCCGCTTGCTCCGCGGACCGCCGCATGGCTCAGAGCGCGGCTCGGACATCGACGTCGCCCCAAATGCTGGGCAACTCATTCGACGGAGCTCAACCGGTGACGTCGAAGGAGTTAGAGCAAACTCCTTTGGAATCGGGTTTCCCAAACGAACGAAGCGCCTCAAATGAGACCAAGATACTTAATCCCAAGAGACTCCATCACGCAATCCTGGATCCAACTATTCTTCCCACAAGTCCAGACTTGTGGTCGGTACACCCATTTGCATCCCCCTGTCGCGCATTGACAGGATCCTCAACAAACCTCTGGCGTCCTGCTGAAAGGAAGACAATCCCAAAATCCCACTCAACATCTCGAGAAAACCCGGCCAAAACCAGTCCTTTGAGGCCTTCACCGGCTGTTCCACCTGGAGGAAACATGGTTGGTCTTCCATCCGAATCCGCTCCGCGGCTCCGCTGCGTCCTCCCTCCGCGTCCTCCAAGCGATCCGCATCTCGTGCGGGCCGCGGCCGCGGGTCGTCGTTGCCGTTGCCGCGGCGGTCGCTGCGGATCTCCCGCAGCATCCAGGGAGGTGCCGGGGCCTCACAGATGGTTCGCTACTAGCAGCGAACGAAGCTATTAGGTTGGAGGCCATCGCTAGTAAGTTGGAGGACATTGCTAGTAACAAGAAGCTACTAGTAGCAAGAAGTATGTTGGAGAGGTGCAGACTGGGAAAAAGAATCAGGAGAGTTCCATGGAACTCACCCGAATGCAGGTTTATCCTGGCATATGTCCTGACTATCCAAGGGACTGGAAGAGTTACTTACATTGACCCCATGTAAATGACCCTAAGGTAGGCACCTACTCCATACCCAAACACTCCATGTATGGAACAGTTGCAGACATTAACCCCATGAAAATAGAATAAAATAACTCATCCATATAGATACTATTTGAATCTAATCATCTAATCTATTTATATTAGATCATATTAACATCATTAACTATTCCAGTCGTGTCGTGTCGTGTCTGGGAGCCCCCAGGGGGCTCCAGTGCCGAAAGAAGGATTCTCCGCCAGCCGCCCACCGCCATGCCGCCTGGGCGAGCTCCTTGAGCCTGGCGTGACCGCTTCCAGGACGACCGGCGCAGCGAGGCCGGCCGATCGACCCCGACCCGAACGGCGAACCGGACGAACCGGACGCGTGACACGGGCGGATGTGACGCATGGTTTAGACCATGTGATACCATGCGGATGTGTTCACTGCAAGGTGAGGAGGTTTGGCCGCAAGCGCTCCTTCGCATTTGGATTGCAAGAACCATCAAGTTTTGAGCAACTTACTATGGGCTTTAGACCACAAAAGACCAGTTGAACCTTTCCTTCAGCGGTCTCGGAAGGTAAAGGCCCACAGGTTGACCGAAAGCGCTTCCTTTCCGAAAACCCGGGCGCCTCGGGAAGCAGCACCGCGCGTAGCGCGCGAACTCGCCGCTGCTCCAACAGAGCCTCGGTCGGCGAGTCCAGGCACCCGTGGTTTCGCATGGCGTTTTCCCCCAAGGATGTCCTGAAAAGATCGGATTCGGGGATTGGTGTGCCATCTACAGCAATTACTCTGAAACCACTGCAAATGGAGCTGTGCCACTGTGAGCTTTGGGTCTTTCAACAGGGGGACCCTGGAACTGTGCCCACTGAAAATGTACAGAATAGACTACCAAACATGGTCAACCTACCAGGAAGTCCACGGACACTCGGGTTCGTTTTTCTCCCGAATGGTCTTCACCGAAGCAAAGTTCTGGATGTTTTGTCGCCTGTTCTGGATGTGGGATGTTTTGAAGCCACCTTTACAGGCGACAAAAACAACTGCTGTTCATCTCTGCTCAAACACATTGAACGCAACTCCTTACAAATCAGTACAACCCGTCCAATTTTAGGCTGGTTGAACAGGATAAGGCTTGCAAGAACTTGTCTGTGTTTGGCTGTCGTTGTTGAAAACACATCGCCTTCCCCATGTTCGCAGAGCCGAGGAGCCCGTTGTCATTGGCGCCAGTGCCTGGCTTCCGTTCACCCTAATGTTGCAAGGAACCAAACAGAAAGGTACCTGGAGCCCGAAGAGGGCTTGGATAGACATGGCACTTTCAAAACACCCCGCATCCATGTCTGTGAAGGGATAGAGCAAACGAAACCATAGGCAGGTGGGCAACAAGTGTCAGCCTCTCTACTGTGAAAAAACAACCCGAGTATCTTATCACACGGAGATGCCCACTTCTGCTAAATAAAGAAGTGGAAAAAAAGGTAAATGATATGCCATTATACCACCGGACCATCCCCGGTTTTGGGAGGCATGTTCCGCAAAAAAATAATTCAGGTCTCTGGTTCCAGCAGTTTGATGGTTCTCTGTATCCATCTCCATAATATGCATTGCTGTGTGTGTGCGGCACATGCAGCGCCGCGTTCTTCTCAGCAGTTATCCCCCCACCTGTGCCATCACCAGACCAGCCCAAACAGCAGAGATTCCGCACGAGCTCATCCTTGAGTCATGGACCAATCCCGGTGGATCGATCAAAGGCGGAAAGTGATCAGCCGATGAACATGTCCACTGGGAACCATCAAGCAGAGAACCCCTGGATATTCTCCACCAAAAACGTTCATGCACCTGGCCACGCGTTCATGTCCATGCTGCCTTTCTCGGGTGTGGAACTCTTCACTCTTCTCTGGTCGAAGGACGAGGTTCCGCCCCTGGTCCAACGGGAGATCAAACACCCGTCGAAGGTCCAAAGGGGAGAGAGTCCAAACGGGCGCCAATTGAACGCATGTGGCCGAAGAAAGAGAGCCTGTCCTTAAGTGGTGCCTGGTGGTTTCTGACAATCAGGCAGGGTAAATGAGCCACTCCCCAAAGCCTACAAACCACCTTGTTTTGAATGTGCCAAACAACCGGCCTTTGTGCAAAAATATCTGAAACAAACCAAAAATTGTCACAGTGGCACGATGGCACGATTGTGGAATAAACCGAACATCCGCTTAATGGAAGTGAATCAACACGAGGACACTCACCTTCACAAAACCTAGAACGGTGTAACGGTTACTCAACAAACCCCAAGATGTGTTTGCTCTTAAGCCTGGATCAAACAGGAGTTGTGGCAACAAACAGCGAGTCAAACGTCTCAGTTGCTTCTGCAGTCCAAAACGCCGAGTCGCCGTCTCACTTTCGAGCACCCGTCGCATCTTCTGCTGACCTGAGCCGGGAGTGGTCAACAAAGTGGACAAGATCTGCAGAGCACCCCACAGGTAATGGGACGAAACCAAATAGCTAGCGCTCAGGTGAGCATGTTGGGGTTCATTCTTTTGCAAAAAGCCTTGGTGCTTTGAACCAATGAACCAACACCGACAACGGAGCGACATCTGGACTCCGACCAGTCTTCCTCAGATCAATCCAGTGGAGGAAAGAGTGAAGAACCAACGAAAAAGCGCAGAACCTACAAAGATCCTGAAACAGCCTGAGTGCAGAATTGGAACAGAGTGCAACACCATCACTGTGCAACGCTGTTGAACGAGTGGCTAACTCTGATATCACCTGATCAAAATTGGCGTCTTCGTTGGACAACCTATGACTCCAAGGTGCACACACACACAGAGGCGGTTCATGGGTTCATGTGTGTCACTCCAACTCTGTCTTCCTCTTAGTTCACATCCCCCAAGTCTTTAAGCAACTGGGCGTCCCTGGCGCTGGTCAATCTCCGAACTCTGCGCCTGGTGAAGATGTGAGGGACTGGGTACCTGATCAATCTCCGTCTCGGGGCCCTTGATGAAGTGGATGAAGCAGGTGTTGATCCACAAAACGTGGGAGGGATGCCTCATTTTCATCGACCTCATTGAAACGTTTAAAAAGTTGAGGGATGAGTGCCTCGGGGTAGTTGCACATCTCACATACTAAAATGTCATTGGTGTTCTGTGGGGCATGGTACGTCATCCTAAGAAGAAAAAGGAGCAAAGGAGCAAAGGCACCCCTGGTGAAATGGAAGACATGACTAAAACTAAGTTCTTTTCTCCGGTAATGAGCCGGTGGCCAGGCGGTGTCTTTGTGCCAAGCTGGCCATTGCGAGCAAACTGGCAATGCACGCGATCTTCGCGGCAATTACATGGGCACAACAGCAAGTTTTGTAGCTCGTTAGCTCCTATGACTTTCGGCAATTTTATGGCAAAACGCTTTGAAAAGTCCAATTCCAGATACTCCTTGGACTCCTTGGAAAAGAAACGGATACCCCAAAGTGCTGGTTTGTGGTTTGGAGAGACAGTGCAGTCGTACAGCGTCCATGATGCTTCGGTTCTCGGCATTCAGGGGAACCAGGCAGGGCCTGGTCGGGGTGGTCAGGCAGGGCATGGTCTGTTCTTTGTGCTGCCTGCACTTAACAAGCATGTATCTCTAAACTACCCAAGGGTGCGTTCGGAACACTGTCGCTTGAACTGGCAATTGGAGCCCACGCAGGGTCCTCTCCCCATCTTGGATGGAGAGGGAGCAGAATTACAATCTCCAATCTCTGTAGCACAATTCAAGCAGAAGTGAAAAAGCACAGGGCATCTACGGCTTTGAATGATCCACAGCTGTCACGCCCGTACATAATCAATAAACCCCAAGCGTAACTGGCAGGCGCCGATGGGAAAAGAACACTTGGCGATCTCTTGGTTTCAACCAGAACTCTTCGTCTGCCATCACCCAACTCATCGAACGCGTGCTGAGATCGGAGTCAGCTGCGGTCGGTCCGACCGCGGCCCTCGTCGTGCGAGAACGGCCCAGGAGCTGGGATCATAACCCGGAAGGATGGTCGTGTGCGATGCTGCCGGGGGGGTTGGGAATGGTGGGGTCTGTCCCTACTTTCTGACGATGTGGTTGCAGCCGGAAGATGATGTTCATCAGGGTTCTAAGGGCGGTGATAGCCGGATAGCCCCTTCTCTCGCGGCTTGGAGGCGCCATCGTTTGCATCCGTTGGACGACCCCCACTCCCAAAGGTTCTTGCTGGTTCTTAGGTCGAACAAGAAAGCGAATGGTGGCATGACGCCT